CCCCCCCCCCCCCCGTTCGCTCGAAAAAAAAGGAGAGAGAAAAAAAGTAAAAAGTAAGAAGGAGGGAAACAAGGGAAGAGGAAGGAGGGACGTTTGGATTTGGTAATTATTATTTATGACGAAATTTACTCAAATTGTATAGCAGATGAATATTGATTAAAATTTTGAAAATTTTCTGAAGGGAGCCGTCGCACAATCGGTCGAGTTAATTGGAGAGGTCGGACAGAATTCGGAAACTTTAAACGCTTACAACCTCGTTTATACAACACTTTATGGTTCTGAAAGTGTTTTCATTGAGTTTCTCGTGAAATTTTCGTTGAAAAGCATCCCTTAAAATATGAAATTTAACGAATGAATCATCAAAATTTGCAGTTTCAGTTAATAATATTTCCCTTCCGACTTCTCTGATTGACTCGATCTACTGTGCGTCGGACCCGGACCCTTTCACGCCCCCCCCCCCCCCACGTTCAAAGTGTCTGGATCCGCCTCCGCCTATATGCATCAATTACCCCTTACTTCAAGGAGTGATAGTCCAAAATTTGCATAATTTTATTACAGGCGTTTGAATACTAGGCACTTGATATTTGGATGGCCGGTGGGAAAGCAACGCAAAACGCTCAGATCCGCAAAATTGTGGAATTTCTAGAGAGCCTCAAGTTTCGTCTTCAAAAAAAAAAAAAATAACCCATTTCACGAGTTCCCTTTTTCCTGATACACTAACCACACTTGCTGTTCTCTTGTTACATGTTTTTATTGCACGCAGGCTGCTAGAAAATCGGCAAATCTAATCAGTATCACTTTAACTGCATTTCAAGGATGCCTAATTTTCTCTCATGTTATATATCTTTTAGACCAAAACCGCGACTAATTCTAAAATAAAACTCTCTGTAAATTGCACCTAGATTTTAAAGTACGCTGGGTCGATTTGCTGTAGTCGCTCCTTGCTAAAGAATGCTGTATGAACCTCCAGCTGTTCCCAAATTTTCTTCAATAAAATGTAAATTTTCAAGGAAATTTGTGAAAACTATTCTTCGCATTTTTCAGAGATTTATTTCACGATCGGATCTAAATTATGTGAAAATTTCAAGAGAAAATACTCAGAATACTCCGTAAAAATAAACATTATATTGGAGGTTTGGCGATTCTCGAATGTTCATTTGGCGTTTTTCCTAGGCACGGCAGTCGTGAACATAGATCGTTTCAAACGCTTGTCGTTTTTAATCCATGCTTCTCACTCTCCGGAGGAGTCTCAATTTTTAATTTGATTCTTATTTTCAATCGCTCGCTTGGAGATATGAAAGGAGTTTTCGCACTTAGTTTAAAAGTAAAACTTATCACAGGAGGTATAGTGCAGGGTATTTAAATGAGATTAAGACCCGACGATGGAATGACCGGGGGCTTGACTAAACTTTACGAGGGGCAAATAATTCGTTCCCTCGGGTCAGACGAATAAGTATAATTCAACGAAATGTACAAAGTCAAAGCCAGGGTTGTCGTTCATGCTCAACCTCTCTTGATAAAAACTTAAGACGTACGTATTAAGAAAATCCGGGCAAGCGTATGAGTTGGATTACATTTTGCAATAAGGGACCACTATCTATTGCTCTTCCGTAAAAGCACATTACTGCATAGGGAAACTAATGGTATATATGTTGTTTCTAAAATGAGCCAGGAATGGTGGTTCCTTATTGCATAATGTAATCCATTTAGAGTCGTATTCATAGTCGTTCTTCAGTATCCTCATTTCTCCAGGGAGACCCCAAATGATTTTTTTCATCATAAAATAAGGTCCATGGCGGTCTTTAACTTGGCAAATATAAAAGCTTTTTGCGAATTTCAAGTAAATGCTGACAGGATCACTTCAGAAACGAATCCTCGCAAGAGATTACGATGATTTGCCACTATCCAATTATTAAAATACAAAAAGGAATATATTGTGGGTTTTGCAAATTTTGAGTTGGGCTTGGGTTTTTCAAAATAATATAAATTAGGAGCTACAATTTCTGGGTCATATTAAAAACAGCATAAATGCCATGAGGTTTCCTTTGCAGGTGGGTGCTTTGTTATCTCTTCTAATTTTACGAGGAAAACGAATCACACAACGGATAGTCTATCAAATCCTGAATAAGATATAAGTGTTTTCTATTAATATTGGTTAAACAATGCACTGGAAAAAACACATTGGATCTAGATTCCAGACTCTTGAAAACATTGACAAGAAAAAGGACTCTTGATTCAATCAGATTTAAGCTTAAATCAAAAGGAAGTCCGTTCAAATTAAGAGGCTTGGTTCTTGATTTAAGCTTAAATCTGATTGAATCAAGAGTATTTTTTCATGTCGATGTTTTGTAGAGTCTGGACTCTAGATCTAGTGTGTTTCTTTTTTTCCAGTGTAAAAGTACAAATGACGTCATGTGTATAATTGAACTTCTATTTGATCGGATTTGGTCAAATCTAGTTCAGGAGTTGATTTCAAAAATCCCCGTTGTGTGAATTGTTTTCTACGTAAGATTCTGAAAACTTGCGACGTTTTCCTCTGATTCGGACCTTGTCTAGTGCGGATGCGCGACCATTGTAAAATGTAGTCCAACTGTCACTTAACTTCTTCTAGCATGCTGCCCTTCACTCAACACTAAATACAAAACATTGAAGATATAAAATCCTACGAGATCCAATGAAATTCTACGAATATTCACGGATTGCTATTGGACTCAAGTCAGATTCTACTATCAAAATATATCGGAGTAATTCTGCGTGAGTACACTGTTAATGTCCGTTATACATTCAATTTTAATTTTTGCCCAATCTGATAGCGGTGAATTTCCGAATGAGCTGAGAAGAGCAGATCACAAACCCGACGATAAGTTCATTACAGAATGACTCAAGTTGCGGGCAAGTTCGTAATGCGGTCAATAAGCGAAAAGGTACGCGCCAGAACCTCAGGCGAAAATTATGATGGATGTTTCCTTCGGGACCTTTGAGATCGGACTTCAGAGTCCTTCTGCGGAATCCGTTCAACATGTTTTGCATATATATGAAAACTTACTAGATATACAACTTCAATATCACACGTTATACAACTTACCTATTTGCTAAAAATAACGACTTACAAAAAATGGTTATGATGTGTTGATGTCAGTGACGTGATGGAAAAAGTTATAAGGAATTGTTTGCGATTAAATTGACTCTGAGGTGTATTAGTCTTAGTCTATGATATAACGCGTTACATCTAATCTACCGTGCTAATGAAGAACGCCATATGAGCTTCCAGACGTTGCCAAGTTTCCTCCAATAAAAACCGAATTTACGGGAAAAATTGCGAATCTTATTTTCCAAAATTTTCAGACAATTTTGTACG